TTCCTCTTTCTCCTTCAGATTTTCCACGTTTGAGCGTATTTTTTACGTTAATATTTACCTAATTACCGCCTAATCCAAGTTTATGATGTTTTTTCAAAACTACCCCAAAATATAGGGTATTTGTGTAAGTACCCCATTGAAAAATCAGATTCCGGCCCATATTCGTTTGTGGAAGGATCAAAACACGAAGAAATTACACCCAATCCTACTTTTAAATTAGAATTTTTATAAATCCCGATTCAAGTTTCATATTGCAAAATTCAGGTTTTAATTATTAATTAAAAAATATTTTTTTATTTTTATATCTATTTACAATAAATTAATTTATATATACTCCCCTACCCTATCTATCCCCAACCAAACCCTAAATCAATTGAACACATCTCCTCTCCTCTCAACCCATTTCTTCTCCCGTCTCTATAATCAACGCCGCCGCTTCTTCCCTTCTTCTCCCTCACTCGTCTTCACTCTCCCTCTCGTCTCTTCTGTCTGGGCTCCAACACCGGCCGACGCTGTTGTGTGATGGCTGTTACTTAGGCGGCTCCCTTCTCCTCCTCTTTTCCCCTATTCTCCCTCCAGGCCATTCCCATTCCCATCGCCGCCTCCACCCCTCTTTCTCTCTCTCTCTCCCCCTTCCCCCAAAAGAAATGGCCATCCCAGCCGCTTCATTCGCCGCAAGATCTGAATCGCGGCGTTGGTTATTGGGTTATTTTTGTGCTGTAGTGGTTGGGTTATTTTGTACGGTGGTGATCCGGTATGGGACGGTGGTGGGCTGCGCCTCATTGTCGGGATCCGTACCGCCGTTGAACACTGCTGCAATCTTAAGTACGATTCTTAGCCATTGTCGGTGTGGCTGTGGGTTTGGTATTATTCCATTTTTTTAGTTGTGTTTACATTGTGGTGGCGGTTTGTGGTGTGATTTAGGTGGTGGTGGTGGCGGTTTGTGGTGCCACGAAGCTGCGATATGAGCTAACGCCCGCGGTAGTGATTTGGGATGGTTTTTACAGGTGGTAGTGGTGGTGTTGTTGAGGTGGTGGAGGCGGTACTCGTGCGGCTACGGTGGTTGTGCAGTGATTTGGGATGGGGTTGTGGATGGATTTTGCAGGTGGTAGTGGTGTTGTTATTGAGGTGGTGGGGACG